ATAGGAGGTTTGAAAGAAATATACTGTTGATACCAGCTTATTTGACAATGGAAGTATTGTAAACGTTTTGTCCCACTGGGCGCTCAGCTTGCTTTTTCATATTTTAGCAGCATCTTTTGAAAAAAGTATTAATTTGACAAAGCCCAGCTTATCAGCATTTTTCCTTTTTGGTCCTGGGGATCGAACTCAGGCTCTCCCGCTTGCCAGGCAGGCACTCAGGAGTGTTTCCTTTTTCAGATTAATATCTTTTATGCCCTTCACCTGCTGCAAAGTTTCAAAAAAAAAAATTTCATACACTACATTTTCCTCTACAAGTCTGTTTTACTTTTTTTAAAGATTGGATTTTATTGGTACATTTTAGATATACATGAAAACATTAATCATAAAGAATTTGTGCCTGTACACAATATAACTTTTTTTTTTGTTTTTTTTTTTAAATTTTATTTATTTATGTGTGTGTGTGTGTGTGTGTGTGTGTGGCCAGCTCAGCCCACCAGGGGGCGGGGCTGGCTGGCATGTGGTGCTGGGGGATTGAACCGCGGTCCCTGTGCTTTGCTAAGCTTGTTCTAGGTAGGTGCTTTAGACCACTGAGCCATCTCACCAGCCCCACAATATAACTTGTTTTCCCCCATTTCTTGGCCCTGCCGTTTGCAAAGCTTTGTTTCTGTTTGTTTCTTCTTCTTCTTCTTCTTCTTCTTCTTCTTCTTCTTCTTCTTCTTCTTCTTCTTCTTCTTCTTCTTTTTTTTTCCTTTTCCCTTTTTTCCTTTCCCCCTTCCCTCTCCCTTGTTCCCCATCCCATCTGGCCATTTTCCTCCTATTTCAAAATATCTGTTATAAACTACACACACACATATGCATATAATACCTGTTTGGGGGAGGCAGCAGGGATCGAACTGAGGACTTGGCACTTGCTCGGCAGGCGCTTGTGCTGCTGAGCCGTCTCCCTGGCCCTGTATAATACCTTATTCACACTTGTGATTTCTCACGCCAGAGGAACAGTGCGGTATTTCTCCACGTGTAAGAGGCTGACCTTGAACGCGGACCGAGCTTTCTGCCTCAGCCTGCTGAGTGCTAGGAGTGTGAGGGTGCACCAGCATTCCAGGGTGGAGTTTTCCTTTTTTCAAGTCTGTGGTCTGTTTCTAATTAATTTTTATGCATGAGATGAGATAGGGGTTGAGGATTTTTTTAAAAAAAAACAAATGTATCTTATTCTGTTGCCACTTGTTTAAAAGGTAATTTTTTCCTCCATACCTTAGTCCCTTAGTGGAAAAATCAATTAGTCATGTGCAAGCCTAATTCTATTGTTGTTGGTGGTATTATTGTTGGTGTTGTTATTATTATTATTATTATTATTTTGGTCTCTTTTGAATCAGGGTCTTGCTATGCAGTTGAACTCACTTTGCAGCCCAGGCTGGTCTCAAACTCTCAACAATCCTGCCTCGGCCTCCCAAGTGCTGGGATTATAGGCATGGGCTAGAATGAGCTTTTCAGGCACTATGAAGGTGCTGGGCTGAGTATGGTGGTGCATGCCTGATTCTAGCCCTCGGGAGAGTGAACAGGGAGGGTCGAGAGTTTGGGGCCAGCCTGGGCCGTAAAACAAGAGCCTGCCTCACAGCAAACAAACAGAATCTGCCGGCATGTCGAGATTGCTTGGAACCCGCAGGTCGGCTTGAGGGTGGACGTTGTTACCATGTTAAGCCTGCTACTCCGTGAAAATTAATTTTAGTAGCACACATTAGCTGTACATAGTGACCACCTTAATCTTAGGGAATTACGCCCATGCAGAGCCTTTTCCCCAGTCCCCTCCCCTCTTTAACCACTCTTGGGGTCCTTCTTTACAAAAGCTTTGTTTCTATTTTTCCTTCCCTGCCTCCCTCCCTCCTGCCCTCCCTCCCTCCTCCCCTTCCCTTCCTCCCTCCTCCCCTCCCTCTTTCCTTCCCTCCTTCCTCCTTCCTTTTCTCTTCCTTCCCCTGTTCCCCTCCCCATTTGAAGATTCTCTCTCTCTCTCTCTCTCTCTCTCTCTCTCTCTCTCTCTCTGCAGTACTGGGATTGAACTCGCGACCTTGTGCTTGCCAGGCAAGCGTTTATCCTACTGAGCCATCTCCCCTGCCCTAAGATTCTCTTCTTATTTCAGTCACCATCCTACATTTTGGTCCTCACCACCCTTTTGGTTTCTCACCCCTAGAAGCCTGCATAGACCC